AGGGGGGAAGAAAAAAGCGCGCATTTTTAAGGGCCTCATTATGATAATTCTCGGCCAGAAGCAATAGGGCTAACAGTTTTATAAACAAAAAATAGGAACGGTGGTTTCCCTCGAAGTTAACTCTGGAAATGGACGTATAGAAACAACGTTCAAATACAGTTGTTTTTATTTATATTATTATATTTATTTATATTATTTTTATTATTACAGTTGGTTTTTTTGTATTATGTGCAAAACTTCGAACATCCAGCCTGGCGGTTTATAAATTTCGTGCCTAAAATCCCCAGGCTTTGGTTGTGTTGCCTGTTGCAAACTTGCTGCAGAATTACACCTGCAAGTTTTACAACAGCAAGACATTTTTTTTTTTTTTTGTGGCTTTACAGTTCAGAATAAGGCCCCCACCTTCTGCTAATCACGCCGTATAACGATAATAATTAAGTCCAGCGCAGCCGGGGTGCTGCAGGCCTGCTGCAAATAAAGCTGCCCGGCCAGAAAATGCCATCAAGCCTCCTTCACCGCGCGGGTCCGGCAAAAATCTTTGCAGAAATCAGTACGTTAATCCTAATCTCTCAAGGATAATAAAAATATTTATCCTAAATCAGAAAAAGTCGCCCCAATCGACTCCAAAATCATCAGACAAAACACCTTCTGGAGGGAGATATTATCGCCGGGTGTCGCAAGGAGTGAAATAAGCCGATGTCATCCCGGCTCCCTAAATTGTCTGTCCCTGGTTGGAGGGAGAAAAAAGCCACCTGGAGCGGCGGGGAGCAAGGGGTTGTGAGAAGGAGAATAGAAACTTTCGCTGTGACTTGACCGTGAACTTCCTGCGACGCGGGGCACGTGCAGCTTTTCACCTTTTTCTTCACGTTCTGGATCAAATCCTTCCTGTTTTGATCTAATATAGATATCATTATTTGACATATGACTGTAATAGACGTGAACGCCGTTGTAACTAATCTTGACAACGTACCTATAGCTTCGATTCGTGCCAGGAATTAATTGGCTTTAATCCAATTACTAAAACTTGCTTCTCAGCCTTTATTACACTTACTCTCTAGTAACGTGTGGGTGGATTTGTTTGTAATTTAGCATAGGCCGTCCCTGGCACTGCACCATCCCTCGTACCTAACACAGAACTGTCTGTAACATCAAACTGGGGAGAAAAAAAAAAAAAAAAAGGGCAGGTGTGAGGGCAATTACTTTATCATCTCTCGGCTCGGTGGCGGGGAGCTCGAATTGTTAAGCCAACAAGTCAGCGGGCAATAAAAACCTCTTGGCAAGCCCTGCCAACATAAACCAGAGCGGGAACACGATAAAATATAATATTAAACTTCTCTGACACCCTGGCTTTGCATCGCAAGTGGCCTCAGCCCGCCTGGGGACCCTGCACGGCCCCGCCGCCGCCAGACACCCGCCCCCGGCGCTGCCCGGCAGCAAACAGGCTCTCAACTATTCCCAGGGGAAATTTTTCTCGGGAACCCCGACTCTCCTGAAGGTACAGTTCAGCTTTTCATACGTCTCTGCCTCTCCCTTCGGACAGAGCCCCGGGACCGCGGTGGGCTGTCAGGTTGTGCCCCCCTCCCCGCAGCAGGGAGCTCGCCGAGTCCGAAAAACTCGGGTAAAACCCTCGCGGACGGAAGAGAAAAAAAAACACAAACCAACAAAAAGCCAATAAAGAACTGTGTTTCCTAAAAAAGGCAAAATAACTTGATTCAAAGATACCATCGTGTAGCTTTATTAGCTGATAGGAAAGGTGCTTGATGTGTGTGTGACCTTAGGTAGCTCCGACACCCACACAAAAGAGCTGAAGTAATTAGCAAATTGATGTCCGAATGCATGTGTGTTCAACGCCAGTGCTCAGAGGGTAGGTGTACGGCACCAGGTTGCAGGAGGAAGACTTAAAGCGCATTAATTACAGCTAGATTTGCATTACTTAAAAAACAAAACAAAACAACAAAAAACCCACAGAGATTTATTTGTGGTATATAATGCAATTGCATCTTACAGTGCTGGAGTGAGGGCCGCTCTGCAGATCACGCTCTGGTGGCTCAGAAACCTGCGGAAAAACGCGTTTCCTCCTTTTGAGAGAAGTATGAAGATGGGGAAAACCACTGCTTTACCAAGCCCCCCCCAGCCCCCCTCACTCTCCCCCCGGTGCCCCGGGGGGCTCGGCCAGCCCGGAGTTACCGGCTGCCGGAGCAGACGCCAACGGCGCTGGGGACGGAGCCGCTGCTGTCCCCGATGCCACCGCCACCCAGCTCATCCTCCCGCCCGGGGGCGCGGATGGAAGCCCCGCTCCCGCCGGAGCCCGCAGCAGCCCCTTGTTTCCCCGCACCGGAACGGCGGGCCCGCTGCAGCCGGGGCCCCGCCGGCCCTTTAGGCCGCAGCCGCCGGCGGGGAGCCCAGCCGGGCCCGGGGAGCCGGGGCGGGAGGGGGGATCATCCCGAGGGGGGATCATCCCGCGGGGGGCAGCGGTGCCCCAGGCCGAACCGAGCCGCCCCGCCCGCTCGGAGGCCGGGCCGCGGCCGTTCCACACCCCGCTTCCCCAGCCCCGGGAGGTTGAGGCGGGTCCGTTCCCTCAGGAAAGGCCTACGCGCGGGGGACGGAAGAGAAAAAAAAAAACCAAACCAACAAAAAGCCAATAAAGAACTGTGTTTCCTAAAAAAGGCAAAATAACTTGATTCAAAGATACCATCGTGTAGCTTTATTAGCTGATAGGAAAGGTGCTTGATGTGTGTGTGACCTTAGGTAGCTCCGACACCCACACAAAAGAGCTGAAGTAATTAGCAAATTGATGTCCGAATGCATGTGTGTTCAACGCCAGTGCTCAGAGGGTAGGTGTACGGCACCAGGTTGCAGGAGGAAGACTTAAAGCGCATTAATTACAGCTAGATTTGCATTACTTAAAAAACAAAACAAAACAACAAAAAACCCACAGAGATTTATTTGTGGTATATAATGCAATTGCATCTTACAGTGCTGGAGTGAGGGCCGCTCTGCAGATCACGCTCTGGTGGCTCAGAAACCTGCGGAAAAACGCGTTTCCTCCTTTTGAGAGAAGTATGAAGATGGGGAAAACCACTGCTTTACCAAGCCCCCCCCAGCCCCCCTCACTCTCCCCCCGGTGCCCCGGGGGGCTCGGCCAGCACGGAGTTACCGGCTGCCGGAGCAGACGCCAACGGCGCTGGGGACGGAGCCGCTGCTGTCCCCGATGCCACCGCCACCCAGCTCATCCTCCCGCCCGGGGGCGCGGATGGAAGCCCCGCTCCCGCCGGAGCCCGCAGCAGCCCCTTGTTTCCCCGCACCGGAACGGCGGGCCCGCTCCACACCCCGCTTCCCCAGCCCCGGGAGGTTGAGGCGGGTCCGTTCCCTCAGGAAAGGCCTACGCGCGGGCCGCCGCTCAGCCCGGACCGGCGGGCACCTTCTGCCGGGCGGCGGAGTGGGGCTCCCGGCGCACCCCCTTTTTCCTTTCCCTTCCCTTAGCTGCCGGTGCTGGGGCCGCGGTCACGGTCACGGCGGGGCGGCCTCACTCTCTCCCCCCCCCCCTCCCCCGGCTTCGCCTGACAGGAGGGTGGTCACGTGCCGGCCGCAAAGCGCCTCTTTGCGACCTCAATGACAGGCAAAATGTGCGACAGGCGCTGTGGAGGCAGGGAGGGAGCGGCGCTGCCTCCTCCTCCTCCTCCGCCTCCCCGGGCCAGCAGCTGAGGCAGCTCTGCCCGCTCCCGGCCCCGGCCCGCTTCCCGGCCCCCTGCCCGCCTCTCTCCTTTCCCTCCTCGGCCCCGCCGCCGCGCCCCGGCCGCCGCCGAGCTGCCAGGAGGGGCAGCCCTCCTCCCCCCGGGAGGCGTCCGCGGGAGCCTGAGAGGAACCCGGCGCCTCGATGAGCTCCTAAGCTCTCCCCAACCCTGCCCCGTCCTCGCCGGCAGCAGCTCCAGGTGCGCGGGGTCAGAGCGGAGCCGGGGACGCAGCTGGCTGCAATGGCGTCCAACATGGACCGAGAAATGATATTGGCTGATTTCCAGGTAAATTTCAAGCCGCCGCCGCCGCCACACAACCGTGGCCTCTCTCGCTGCTTTTCTCTTTCTCCTCGTTGCTGTGCTGCTCGTTCTTTGTGGGAAGGTCCAGGGCGGTGGGTGTGAAGCCCACCCTCCACAGCCTTCCCTCTTTCTTTCTTTCTTTCTTTTTCTTTCTTTTTCTTATTTTTTTTGGTCAGAAACAGGAAAACGTGTGCCCTCTTCTCTCAAGGTGCGTGAACAGAATGTCTTCTTTAACTTAGAGAGTTTCAGTTTTTAATAAAAAGCTTTTTTTTTTTCATCCTCTTTGCTTGTTCCAACCCTCTACACCCACCCAGGCCCTGGGACAGCTGGGTGCCAGCTCACTAGGAGGAGGCAAGTGCCAGGGAGGATACAAAACTCATCTCTCCTCATGATTTGTCACGGTGTTTGTAATGAATCACTTGCTGGTACTACAGATTAACGCTGAACAGAGGTATTTCCATTATAATATCAACACTAACTTCATGGTTGCCTCAGCCTATGACTGTTGTAATGACGGTAGAACTCTTCGCGCCCTGTTCCAAACAACAACATGTTTGTGTAGAAAGGAAGAATATGTCCTTAAAAGTTGTTTGTTACCTTCCCTCCTCCCTGCAAAAGGGCTATAACTTAACTTCAAACTTTGAAATCTTGTTCCCAGAATAAAGCTTTCTCTAAATAAAAGCAACGTGTTCAGGAGCCTGGTTAATCTTTCCTGTATATTGCTTCTTAATGTTGCTTGTTTTTATATTGTTTTTCTAAGAGCAAGTAAATAAGTAGAAGATACCTGCATTTGAAATAGTGGAAAGAGCCAAAAGCAGCTTGGAAGGGTATTGGATTATATTTGAATGAATCTTTTTAGTGTTTGCTTTTTGATCAATTTTTTTTTTTTTTAAGCTTTGTCCATTTTTCAGTGGCTGTTCTTACATGGATAGGCTCCTGGAGGTCCTTGGAATTGAGTTGTAAAACTGCTGTCTATATGTTCAAACTTCTTTAAAGACTGTTTCTCAGCTGTTAGCAGTGAAACTATTTCATTTAGTTAAAAGAAAAAAGTAATCCCTTTGCTCTGTATGTGTGTTTAACATGAATATTTCTTTGGAATTACAGGTAGGGTGACTGTAGTGTACGTTATGTAATTCCTCCTTTGCACAAGGTATCCAGTATCTCACTGACGTAACACGTGGAGTTCCCAACTGATAACAGGGAAGTCTTTTCCCATTCTGTACCCGAGTGTCTTACACCCATATTTATTAAAATGTTTAACAAATGTTTCTGTAACGAACCTTTATTTTGTTGTGCTTGGAGATACCTTTGTGTGTGTAAGGAGTGACATCTTAATTTTAAGGCTGGAGTTATAGAGAGGAGTTCTACCAGTAAGAATACACTGTGTAAAAGGAAACTGGGACCCCAATTCTGCACTCATACTGGTGGGAGATGGACTGTTACGGAATCCTACAGTCTTAGCTGAAACAGGTTTACATTCAGGAATCCCAGATGATGATGAAGTTAGTGACTGGTGAATGTAAGATTTATTATTGTTAATAGAGTTTTCAGTCTGTGTCCACTTTCCAGGTTTTTAGGGTCAGTGCTGTTTTGCAGTTCTCCAGTATTGTTTTTCTTGTGTTTTGAAACCAATTAATAAAGGTATAAAAGCAACTGCAGTGTTTGGTACCCTGAAGACAAGTTAAGTATTACTGCAAACTTGCAGATGGGTGGTGGAGTCATAGAAGCCAGTTGTGGATCAAGGATGACCCCTGGTCTGAACCTAGGAAATATTTTATCATGTAACAATGTTTATTTGAAAAAAAACCTAAATATTTTCCTCTTGTATTTCAGCTGTTTCATTTTTCTGTTTCATCCATTTTTTTATATGCTGTTAAAGCTTCAGATTAGCAAAGGAAAATGTCAGTCATTATTAGGCCTCATATCTTTAGGCTGTTACAAAACGGTAAAGGATTTGGGTTATTTTAAATACTTGATGGAATTTACAACTCATTCACTAAGAGTTTAAAATGGAAGATAAAACACTATGTGCAAAGTAATTCTGTGTGATTTTCCCTTCCATATTTTCTGTACCTTTTAATTAATAAATATATGCCATCTTCTATATTTGTGTGAGGTATCTTGTTGAAGAATGTTTTATGCACTGGAAATTTTAAAAGAAATTCTTTGTAGTTTTGTTCAGTTGATCTTTGCTGAATTAAATTAGGAGGGAAACATCCATCGTCGTTTCACACTCGCCTTTCCCAAATTACTTTTAAGAGGGATAGAGCAGTCGTCTTTGGACTTTTAAAACTTGAAAGGGTTTTCTCTCCTCATAGGAAATTTCTTAAGTGAAGTCATGATTATACTGATACTTAGTGCTTTTGTGAAGCTTTCATGGATTTATTTGTATCTTTCAAAGCCAGTAGGGATTCTGCCATTGATTTCAACTAGAGCTGGGTCTCATATTGCATTTGGTTTTTCCTTTTAGCTCTGATTGCTGTAACAGGTTACTTCTGCGTTCTGAGGTACTAAAGAGAAATACTTTAAAAAATATTTTGTATGTATACATACAAACATTGAATACGTTTATAAAATATTTTAACTATGGAGTAAACCACAGTAAGTGATTACCAAAATATTTTTTTCTTAATGTCTCAAAACAATTGAAGCCTGTTCTGTGTGGTTTATAATGATTTTCTTTCCCTCTCCTTTTTTTAATGAGGTTACTGTATGCTACCGAGGGAGTACAAAGTACGTATTCATGCATCTGGGCTGTATAAGCAACCTGTCTAACTTTTCCTTCTTAGGTCCTCACTTAGGAAAGATTATGCAGAAGCTTAGCTTTATACATGAGTAGTCTGATTGTTTTCAGTGGAAGCAGCTAAAGTGGTGGAGTTAAGCGCACAAACAAGTTTTAGCTGTTTTACTAAATGCAATTCAGAATTTCTCCACAAAGTGTCATTGGCATATAGGAAAAACTCCGTAGAAAAAAACCCCAACATCTTGTGTTTGTAGCATAAATTCTTTAAAAAGGTAACTGCATGTGAATTGGTAAAAGTGTGATGCTGCAACATACCTCATGTACTGGGGGAAATAAGGGCATATAATTTCTACCCATTTTTGTTAATAACTCTGTTGTTCTTTTGTTGTGTTTAACTGCAAAACGTTCTTCCATCTCCAGTGGGATACCCAGGTAGTCACATGATACAAATATATTAATGATTGTGATATATATTCAGTTTGGGGCTTGAAGAGAGTTGCTCTCACAGTGTATTGATCCACTTTTCATTATAAAGAAAATAGATTTTTTTTTTTTCTTTTTAAATTGCAAACTTTAGTTGTGCTGAACTTATTTAAATTGGCATAGTTAAACTGTTCAGGAATGAAAAACAATCTTTGAGTATTGGCAGGAGTGTCAGACGTCGACATTTTTGTACGCTGGCACCTTTACTTTTGTTTTTACAGCTTCACTTAGGGTGGTGACTAGAATTAACAAGAACATCTTTTTGTCGTTATGTCCACCTGTAGGATGGCTTCATTCATGCTACGTGATCAACCTCACAACAATTCTAAATGTAGAGGGGCCTAAGGGTTGGAGTATTGTGGGAGTTACCAGCCCCTGGGGGCCGTATATTAAAAGAATATCTGGCACATGGAGCTTCAGAAGGAAATTTTTCACAGAACTCTCACTTTTCATTGACTAAATAAATAAATAGCTGGAGATTTAGTCTGGGTGGGAAGACTTCGGAGTGGAATGGCACAACTCAAAACACAGTTATGTGAGGTTTTTTTTTCCTTTTAACTTTTTTTTTTTAAATGAGTGGTAGACTGTTTTGGTATGATTCACACACATGTATGTAAAAGTATCTTTTTTTCAAGCTTCACCTTTGTGTCAATCTTTTTCATAAAACCAGAGGTTTGTGGGAGGAGGAAGGGGGAATTGGGAAGGAAGAACCTCATTGCCATCAGTTACAGAAAAGGTGAGAAAGCATGCTAGATAATCATGTTTTCAGTTATAGAATTGACCACGACATTGATACATCAGCTTATTATTTCTTTTTCTTTTTTTTTTTTTTCACTAAAACTCAAATTACTTGTTTCCTTCTGGAATGGCTAAAATTAAATAAACACAGTGCTGTTAAGTATCTGTTTCCAGAGGTCCCTTCCAACCCCATATGATTCTGTGATCTGATGAGATGTATTTTAAAACATCTTTAAAAAAGTGTGGGGTTTTTTTTTTTTTGTGATTATGAAAAATATCTGTCTCTTTCAGCCCTGTACAAGATTATCTCTGTTATGCACACTGCTTTCACTGAGAGTCTATGTGCAGAATTTACAAGTGGATTAATTTTTTGGGGGGGGAGAGGGGTACTAAGGGAGCTTTGCTTTCTTCTGTGTGTGTCGGCATGATGGCTCGGGTTTTCTGTCACTTCTAAGTTATTGCCAGTATGAAAACTTGATAGGTGAAAGAGGTAGGGCAGGTACAGGAACAGCTTTGAGTCATGATGCTTGCCCTGGACTGTGGCTTATGCTGGGGGCTGGAAAGAGTCTTTCAACCATTTTCTGTAAGAGTAAACCATCCACTAAAGGGTTTTGAACAAATAAGCAAAGTTGATATCTTTAGCATTGATTTCTGAAAGAGATTGTGTTGTTTTGTCGTCAAAGGCATTGGAGCAGAAAGGGCTGTTCTTCATTTCTCAGCAGACTTTCTGTGAATTGTTTGGCAACTCATTTGGAAAAAGGTCCTCAGCAAAAGATAGGTGCTGAAGAAACTTCCAAAGTTTAAATCTTTGGAAAGTGCTCTCCAAGGTATGTTTAAAGCTCTCAGAAGCCTACATTTTCATCAGAAGGTCACCTTAGGTGCCTAAATGTCTGGTTTTATATGTGTTAGATCTGTCTGAGCTTAAAGCCTCAGTCTTGCTCAGACAAAACCATTTTTTTGTGTGGTCTCTCCGTAGGATATAATGCAGTGGGTGCTCCCAGAGCGTGCCAGCTGGACTGAGCCCTGCAGCTCTCTCCACAGTAGTTGGAAGGAAATCCAGTGCTCTATAGGTGAGAAGTTAGGGCTTGGGAGAGACAGGTTTGTTTCTTCACCCCCTCATACAGGGTATCTTTAGGTAGAAGCTGACTCTGCTAAGATTCTGTGAGGCCCCAAGATGCTCAGCACTGCTTCTCCTGCCCTTTTATGTGGATATAGTTTACTGTATCCTTAGCTATGTTTTGAGGTAGTTAGCAGGACTGTTTCCCAGTGTGATAAAAGAGGACCTTACTATACCATAGGATGTTGAAGTTCATACCTATGAGGCCTCTTAATTTACATTTTGATTAGAATTCCATTTAATCCTTGTTGCGTTTTATCACATCTTATAATTTTGTGCGTTGCACAGTCAGTAACAGCACTGGAACTGGTAGTTGGACCTCTTGGTTTGCAACACAATTGGTTTTGTTTGCTGTAAATGGCCTTGGGGGCAAGAGACATGATAAAAGCATACTGCATGCTTAGTGTGTTTTAGTTTGGTTATTTGATTGTCATTGTCTGCTACCAAGACCATTGCTTATTTTATTTTGTTCTTTGTGTGTTTCTGAAGAATCAACAGTTTGATTTCTTTAGAAACTTTTAGTCTCGTCTGTAATCCCAAAGCTCACGTTCGTTAGAACAAAGCTAGTTTGATTTACTAGTACCTTCCTGGTCTTTAAACTGGAGGTGTATTCCAGTGTCACAAATAAGAAACTGGAGTAAGAGTGGTGTCCGTTCGGCAACCTGATAACTTGGATATTTCCACTGAGAGCTCTTCAAAGAAAAGCCAGCTAATTTCTCCTCTATAACTAACTAGAAATACTATCTGACATTTATAGATGAGAAACAGGATATTATGATTTGTGTGTATTACGGCCCTGCTGTAGGAACCTAAATAATTTACCACTGGAGCAGGGATTCATCGTCAGAAAGAGTTTTATGCTGTTCTTTTCATTCAGTTACCTTGAAAAGACTCTTTGCATCGTAGTAATCATGTCACCATTTCCATCAGCCCATTCATGTAGGTATTTGGGTTAGTAGGTCACTGAAACAGATTGAGAGGTGGTAGCTGTCGGATCCTTTTTCAAATGCCATGACAACTAATACTAATTATAATATAGAAATTATTAATTATATGTACTCCCAGAGGCTAGGAATGTGCTTTCATTGAAAAGTAATGTGAAAGTTATTTGGCACATTGGAAATAAAATGTGGCTAATATTTCTTGGTAAGCAAAGATCAGTTACAGTAAACACACTTACTGAGTTCGTATTTCTGTGTGGAAGGAGAGGATGAGGATTTGAGTGAGTTGCTACATGTCTGAAGGGATCCTGAGAGGCTCCCATCTTGAGAGTATTGCATTGGTGCTGGAAAGTTTGAAAGGGTAGAATTTCCCCCTCTATTAAGCAGTTCTCCTGGTTCAGTTACCATTGCAAGCCTAGTTTTCATGCATTTCCCCACTAGAAGCAAGAGTTAATGGCTTATTAAAGGCATATATCTGGTATGATTTCATATTTTTCTAGTCAGTGGATAAATCTGTGCGTTTGTGGGGCAGCCATTAGATAAGTCCTTTCTTTTAACTATTGTAAGAACTCAAAAGCCTGGGGAAGTACCTAACATTTTACTTGTCCCTCATCATTTGGATGAAAGGAAGTGACTTACCAGAGTTTACTGGCTGGACTGATACCTACTAATTACGCCCATTTTTTAGAGTTGACTGGAGAATGTGCAATTGCAAAAACAAACTGCTCAAAGAGGAAGCCAAAGCCCTAATGTATGCATTACGTGTTGTTTGGTCTATCAAAGTAGTCATCTGCTGGTCCTCTATGTTTAACTGGTTGAGCAGGTCTTTGTTCTGCAGGAGTAGTTATGCTTTCAAAAGATAATTCATTAAAGCTGAAGTTCTTAAGAGATGTTCTGAAACTAGACCAGAGTACGTTAGCCCTTGAGTTATTTTATAGAGGTTTCATATGTTACCTATTGCAGGAAACAATTTGTAAAGACAAGAACTCTGAAACTGAGTCACTTCTATTTTTTTCTTTTTTTTTTTCTTTCTTAAAGGTCAGGTTGTTATTGTGAGCAAATATCAAAGGTGCAATATCAGCTCAGATTGAAGACCCAGCTGGCCTAATGTCTCATCTGTAGCAGTGACTGGTCCTTAGGAAAGAGTGGAAAGAAACAGAATTTGAATGGATTTGCCTCATCCTAATTTCTGGAAGTCAGCACTTTAAGAGCTTGATAATGCTTTTTTTTTTATAAGTCTTTGGAAAAAAAACTGAGTCAGCTTGTGTTAGTCTTGCATTCTTCAGAGACATCTGAGTGGTTTTGTGATGCGTGAGTGTGCTCTATAGAAGCTGTGTTCACTTTTCCTCAGTATGTCATATATATTAATGTGTAAACTATTTTTTTTTTATACATACTTTTATTGGAATTTCCGCTATTGCTTATGATACAGAAGTAAAATTTTTCTGAACTGTGGAAATCTTAACCCTTCCTGGTTAGCACCCTAATAAAATTCACCAAAAAGCTAATGGCAGCACTGTGGGAATGTGAGGTTAATTTAACCTTTAAGACTGATTTAAAGAGCAGTCTGTGTTTAAAAAAAAAAACCCAACAAAAAAACCCCAGACGAAAACAAACACCCAACAAACACCCCCCCAAACAAACAAACAAAGAAAAAATGCCTCAACCCCAAAAAACCCAAACAAACAAACAAAAATTTCCTATTTCAGTTCCTTTAAAATTTTGGGAACTATCATCTATTCCTGCTGACTTGTTCTTTATGTCTCTGCTGACACTTTAGGATGAGAGAGTTCTCTGTAAAGAGCAGCTTTGTTATAGGATGGTCCCTAAGTTCCTCTGTAGTGAATATGAGCACACAAAATTCATTTAGCTTTTATGATATGCCCTTACCTTATATGAATACTTCTTTAGCATTTTCTTCCTTTGGTCCCACTGACCCTCTGGCAGGCTTCCTTGTCCTGATGCTTTTAAGAGCTTATATAATTTTCATGTCTTTAGAGAAATGGTGGTGTGTTGTTTTGTTTTTCTTTTTCCAGTCCTTGTTGACCTGCATTATGGTATGACTTATGCTGTGCTGTGATTTGAGTGTTCTTCACTCAAAAGAAGAATCTTCAGATTCTTCTGTTTCCCCATTTTGGATACAATTTCCAGGTTTTGAAGAGTATGTTCCTTCCTTGTGATCCTATTCTTTATCAAAAAAATACCAGTGGCTGTGGAACGTTGAGTAAAATATTTTTTGTATGGGTTAGTACTTGTCCTTTGTGTGTTTATTTACAAAGTGGCTTTTACTTATTCTTTAGTTGTTTTTAGGGTTCTACTGCTCTCGGGATAATGAGGAGAAAGGAGATGACTGCAATTATCCAATAAGGAAAAGTGTCAGACACCTGCAGTTCTTTTCTATTTTCCATCAGTTTTTCTACTTATGTGATAAATGTGTAAGATACTGTAAGACCAAAATGACTATGATTCAGGAAATCTTGAGGTTTTTGCCTTCACTGAGATACTTTAATAAAAGTATTAAAAAAAAGCACAGAAACTTTGGGATAATCCTAACTAAAGCTTTTTGTAGTTGTTGGCTAAAGGCTGTCTTCAGTCCTCAGGAAAGACAAATGGTTTTGGTAGTCCAGAGTGCTAATTAATGGGTACTGACTTTTGTTTTGGTTTGGTTTTTAATTCAGTTTGAGCACTGCTCTTTGTATGTAGTGCATGTGGCTTAAACGCTAGAGTGGTAGCATGGGGCTTGGGAAACTAGAGTTCATGTCTTGGCTCAGCTCATGGGCTTCCTAGGGATGTGTCTTCATGGTATTCTGGAAACCGAATTTGCTCCAGAGTCTTGAGAGTGTTCAAAGTCTGCTGGAAACCATTTGAAAGTGGTTAGTGTGGTGCCAAGTTAGCTAGTTCTGCTAAGAAGTGGTTAGAGCTTCATGCTACCAGTTTAGACTTTGTACCCTGCTGGCTTTGTTCAGAAGGCTTGCAGTCATCTCAGAGCATGGGCAAAGTTCACTCTTGTCTGCTTGGTAACTAACAGGTAGAAATGTTTTCTGTGACCTTCAGAAATAATTTTTTTTTTTCTCTGTTGTTTTAACCCCCCCCTATTCCTCCTGTAGAAAGGGACTAAGGCTCCTTACTTTACATTTTGCTTAAGGTGGTGCTCAAATAGTAGAATGTTGAAGTTTGCAAATAGTTGGGGGTGGGATTTGAAACACATTGGGCAAACCTTTAGGCTGGCATATCTCAATTTCTGATATTGGTAAGTGTGTTAGCTTGTTTGTTAGGCAAACAGCTGGTGAATCTGCTTAATTTTTACCATATGGTCTCCCGAGTTATGTAAAAACAGAGAGGCATTCTTATCTCTTCATTTAGATGCTCGCAGTAGGTGACCTTTCAGTTTGCATCTTGGTCGATATGCCTGGATGTGTTTTTTTTAAATGTTTGTCTGAAACAGAAAGAAGTAAAAGTTAGTTTAATAACCACGGATGACTCATAATAAGAACAGTCTTACTGCATCCGTAAGGTTGTTGCAAGGTTAGAATAATAGGGGATGCCATGGAGGGGCGCCGATGTGGCTGGTGTTGCAGTCCGTGGAGGTGATCCTGAGGCTGGTGGGACTCTGGGATGAGAAGAACCAAGGTACCAAAAGGTCTGAATTGTGAGTGTCTGAATGTGCTGAGTCTCTTGATAGCCCAGAGGGGAGTTACTTATGCATCCTAAATCTGGTATTTCAGTACTAAAGCCTTTACTTGCTTGGCTGAGCATATTGGTTAGTTAAACCAAAGTTATTACCTGGTTTTGGGGAACAAGTACTATGTTTTGTTTCAGTTGCTTTGAAGTAATTGTCATTGCAACAGTGTATGTGTGAATTTTCAAGAAAATTTTCTCACTTACTAATATGTCGTAGGTGAATTAGTGTCCTAAAGTTTTCTGCGTTTGAGTAGACTTCGAGCAGATACAATGTGGAGCTGCCCTTGGCTGTTTTATAGACTTTTAATTATTGTCTTTGATTACTGAGCCTTTCTCCTCATGAGGGATAGGAAGAGGAAGCGAGGTACTAAGTTTCCCTGTAGAAGCAGGAAACTCAGGATTGGGTTGTTTAAAAATCCTACATCCAGAAACCTGATTTCTCTTAGGAGTGCTTCGGAAGGGAATCGTGGATTCTTCTAGTAGAAGTTGTAGCAAACTGTGGAACTGTTTGTGGAACGGTGATAGTGTGCCGAGAGACTGAGGGAAGCCGTTCTTCACCTCTGCTTGGTGCTGCTGAGACCAGTACTATGTCCTGTATTGATCCCTCCGTTCACCAAGCAGAACAAGTCCAGTGGAGGGCTGCCTTGTTGGGGCAGAGGCTGGATCATGTTCCGTGAAAGATAAGGTTGAGGGAGCTGGTTTTGTGGAGCCTGGAAGAGAAGGTTAAGAGGAGATCTCGTTGCTGGGTCAAGTATGCAGTGGGTGGTAACACTGAGAACACGAGAAACCAAATTTCTTTTGGAGTTGCAGAGTCCAAGGATGGAAAGCAGGTGGATACAGGTTACAGCAAGGGGAATTATAATTAAATAATGATTTTCTTTTTTTTTTTCCCCCCAGTGAAGGTGGTGAAACATTGGAACAAGCTGCCCAGAGAGGCTGTAGACTCTCAGTCTTTGGAGATATGTAAAACCTGACAGGAAGCTGAAGTGTGTCTGTGAGTGGATCTGTTTGGTTGCAATTGAAGAGCTGGATAAAACAGCAAACTGAATTTGGTTTTATTGGAGGCTAAGCGTGCAAGGAGATAAGCAATATCCTTTGCTGTATCTCAAATGCTATTAAGAACAGCGCTGAGTCTTTTTTTTTTTTTCTCATTTTTAAGTAGTTGTGCTGGAGAATTCAGCCACCTTTCTGAGCAGGTTAGTGGCCTGTACTTGAAAAGCATTTTCCATGCTCCTAGTCTCTCTCATCTTTTGAAGAGTAAGTCGCCAAAGGGATAGTGAATTGATTTTAACATTATTTTTCTTTGCCAGTGTTTTTGATTTATCTTTAAAACCTCGTATATCTTTATGGTATAGAGTTAGCTCTAGTTGCATTGCTGTATCTAGTGATAAAAATTTATTGAGTATTTTCAAAAGTAAGCATTTCCTTGCAGTCTTGGTGGATGGAGATGTATTAATGCTGGCTTCTTGGGGTTTTGCAGGAGATCCCGAAGGGTGAAAACTTTTTTTCCTGGGTGATCTCACCTCTTGAGTCTTGTGGTGCCTTAATGTAGTTGTTTCTTTGGGCATTGTAGTTGCGTACAAATATTAAAAAGATGGACTGAGCTACAGTTGCAACAAAATGCTGATGGCAGAAAGCTCTTTTTCATCCAGCACAGGAGAGTCTGTATCAGCTGTTTCAATGTCTGAGGACTAGGCATCAGATTGAATCACAGAAGCTTAGTCTTATTCTGAGACAGATGGATGTGATATTAGCGAGACGGGAAAAAGCCTGTAGTTGACAACTGGTGTGGCTCTTCCCTGGAGATTAGTTGTCTGAGTTTGTTGCTGTTCTGGCTACTTGGAGCTATGGCTCTGGTTTTGTCCTTTTATGTTTTGTGGACTGAGCGTGGTACCTGTATTTGCATCTGCTCTGAATTACTGCAGGAGGCTGCAGCTGAGGATGCTGACTGCAGAGTGCGTGTGGAGATTAGTTAGGCACAAAGTGAGATTCTTTTTTGTTGATTTGTTTTTTTCTTCCAGCTGACTTTTACAGGAGGGAGTGGTGCACGGTGTGATGCACAGCCCTCTGTCTGCCTGATTCTAATGGGCCTGAACCTGCTGTGCAAAATGTTCTAGGCTAAAGCCTAGTTTGGGTTCGCTTAGAGGGAGAAAACACAGCTACTGCTGGTAGTCAAAGGAAATACAGAATTGCTCAACAAAAATGTTGAGAGAGGCAGACTTCTCCGTCCTCCACATCCAGCTGCTGGCTGTTGGGGTGAATGTGGTCTTCTGGATACTTTTGACTGCCACGTTTTGCCCCGGCGAGAAGGGGAATGGTGCCGCAGGTGAGAGAGCTCCTGCCCTGCTGCCAAAGACCATTTGCTCCCAGCTTCTGTGCACCAACTGCCCCCGGCTCCCCGTGGGGGTCACAGTAGCCCGACTGCTGTCTGTGAGTCAGCCCCAGCTGTTTGTTGCTCTCCCGGCTTTGCAGGAGGAACAGCCCAGCTCTCTGTGTTGGGAGCAGCAGTTGTCCCTTCCAGCTTCCCCGCGTAACAACTGCCTGGATCTCTGCAGCAGGTGCCGGAGGAGGGTTTTCCACAGCAGCTGCCGCCAGATGGGGAGGTCAGCTGCTTTCCCGTGATGTGGAGGTGGGCAAAAGCCTGCACTGTTGAGGTGGGGGGGGGTCACAGAGGGTCCCAAAACCCAGATCCAGCTGTTACGGCTGCCGGGGTCAGACCACCCTGCAAGGGATTTAGAAAAGCGAGTCTGTCATCCTGCATTATAGCTTTCTGGAAGCGCCTCCTGGGTTTGCCTCGGATGCCTTGGAGTCTGTCTGGCCTCCAACTTTTCTCCTACTGGATTGTTTCCTCCCTGGCTACTTTGCTGCTTTTATGTAACAGTGATTAAGGTTAGTGTGCCAGCTAAATGGGACCCCTAATGGGTTAGCTGTGGATCTTTCCAAGGGTAAGCTCTCCATCACTAAGGTGATGGTTAATCTGCAAAGCTACCTGAAAGAAATTTGGAGAAGCGCTCTGAAATTTCATTATATGCAAATATAAATCTACCTGGTGGAAACACTTACCTGGCCTGGAAAAGCAGGATGCTAAGAAAGTTGTTTTAACATTCAATAGTTTTATCTTCAGAATCTGAATCTGTGCATTCAGTTCCAAAGTTTTCTAATCTTCACATTCATTTGCCTCTTGTGTGGTCTGAAAAAAAAAACACAGAAGAGACTGCACAGTCTCTGGAGCTGCTGAGAAGGGCAAAAATACTATCCTAGGTTTAGAGGAAATGCAGAGAGGAGGAGAAGAAACTTGTTCTACCTTTTCTTCCCTTTTGTCCTTCAAAAAAAACTCTTTGGTTTCTTTTTGAGTTGTAAAGGTTTGCAAATCGGTGAGCCTTAAGAGTTTTACCTTTACTGTGGTGGCTTGTTTCTTTCAGTTTGATGACTTGGAGGATGTGCTGGTTGTTGATTGAATCAAGAGTTAGTAGTATTCTGGTAGGAATTTTCTTCGAAAATATTTAATGCCTTTTAGTAAGTAAGTCTCTCATGAAAATAAAGCTGCATAAAATCTGTGAATCAAGAAAAAAATTTCTCCTCAGCTAGTATCGCTTTACTTGCTTAGTAATGAAGATGTGTTCTTGCGTCTTTGGAGTTAATCTACTTTGCTATATTTTGGATATTTTGAAGGTTTTTTTCCCCTTCTGCTTCTGTGCAAATTGAACAACTTTTTCTTTTTTCCTATTCAAATTTTTTTTGCTTGTTTGTTTCTTGCTTGGGTAGAATGAATGGCATAAAAATGGGCAAAAAATCTTTACGTACTGTAAATAAGTAAACCTTGTGACTTTCAGTCTGTCTTCCTACATAAGTAAGGCATATAGCCTTATAGTGCCCAGATGTCCCCTGGACTCATACCAATTAAATTATTCCAAATTTCATGAATATACAGCCAAGTAACATGGAAAGAAGTCCATCAAAAGAAGTCCTTATAAATATTCCAGCCATAAGAAAACCTTGAATTGGCTCTTGTAATTAGAGATGAGAGACAAACCCACAAGGAACCAGACTTGCTTAATTTTGTTGCTCACAGAACCTGCTGGTTTCCTGTGTGTGTTTCCCTACAGAAAATGAAAGCAGGAGGAGGCCAGGTTGTTCTGGGACTAATCTGCTGCTCCAGGAGTCCTTGGCGTCACAACACACTTGCCAGTGAGGGACTACTTGTCTCGTGTGCTTAATTTCTTAGGGAAAATGAAAGACATGCAAAAGGGATGCTTTCTTGACTTTATTTTGCATGTTATGACACAGTTAAAAGGAAGCAAACTTTAATTTTTTTTGTTGCCTTACTGATGCATCGTGACTCGAGGCAGGGATTTGTATGTGGTGTGTAGTGTCTGAATGTAGGAATATTACTCTGAAAAATCGTAGTTTGCTGCAACTGTGACATGAACAGGATATTGAGGAAGATCTTAGAATGTCAGTTTTGCGGTTACATTGATCAGTAGCACTCATCTGTTCATTGTTGTCATTCAGAAATGTTTGTTTTCTGTTTTATTGACAACTAGCAAAACCAGCCCATCCGGAAAGTGAGACCTGAATTTTACAACTCCCCAAAATCAAATGTTGAAAGTGATTGTAAAAGCGGTCTATGAGTTTTCAAGAAAACTGCTTTTCTTGAGTATTAAGAATTCTGAAGTTTCTGATTTTTAGTTAGTGTTTCCACCTGTCCATTCCTGTTACCAATTGCTAAGTTCTATTTTAAATTGTTATATCCCCAACAAGATGACTTAAGAAGGATGTAGACATACAAGTGAATTAGTTGCTTAATTACTCTGCCTTCGCTATGATGGGGTAACTCCTTTCACTGTGATTGCTGGTAGAAGGGTAAGCTAATTTTGTTTAGTTTATCTCAAAATAAAAGTTATGTCAAACCAAGCTGAACTGATTTGCAGTTAATATGGGCTAAGAGTGTGCATATGGACAGTTGCAATTCAGCTGAGCTGCAGGGGTGGTATGGAAGACAGGTCAACTAAAAGCAGTATTTGAGCTCTGAATTCTAGGTGCCCTCTCCTCAACTTCATCTGCACAGCCCAGGGTTAAGAACAACACCATGACATTGTTTGTCAGGTTCTGATTGTAGGTTGGAACACAACCTAGGTCTTAGAATGGCCATGCAGAGTTTGCAGGGCTGATAAATGAGAAATAGTAACTATTTCTGTAATGTCCGGATTTTTAAGTGTATTTCACTTGCCTGTAAACAGAATCTCAGACTGTCACAAAACTTTTTCTCAAGTAAGGCTACTTTGTAGCAGAACTGTCAGCGTCAGTTTCAGTGGCAGGTTTATGGTAGTATCAAGCTCAAGCCCTGCTCTCCTCAAAGTGTATAACCTTTCCATTTGCTAGGGAATGTGTTAAAGTGTTGTCTCATTTTTAACTGCAGAAGTAATGGAAGAAAAGGCAACATGATGCTTCTGAAGAGCAAAGCTGTATTTTCAAAAAATTTTTTCAGCGCTCCAGATGCAAAGTGGGTGAAATTCAATATGAACACAGCATGCTGTGAGCAATGGAAGAAATTTTGTCTTGTTCCAGAGAGACTCGATCTGGCCATGAGAACATTGTGGATCAATAGAGACTGCTGCCTAATGTGATCTTGTGATCCTTGTGGTCCTCCAGACTGGTCCATCTTGTATAGCCATACTGTGCGTCATGCTTCATAAGTGTAGAATTCTTTGGCATTGAATTTGGGAAGAGAGAATTGGCCTTGAACATCCCTGTGGTTTCTTTTCTACTTCTAATTTCTTGCGTTTGTTGTTGTAAATTGGGAGAAAAGTTAGGTCATGGAAAATGTATGACCTGATAGTTTTTTATGTCTCGGGAGAAAAAAAAGGTGTCTGTTTCTGTCCCTAGCCCCCTCTTTCTCTTACCATGTACATCAAAAACAGGACTGTATACCTTTGGAATCAGGAAAACAGATCTGTTTGCTGCTGCTATCTAACGCTGTATTATTACTGTTAAAAGTTTGGATTTTTTAAATGTAGCTTTATATAAACTTTTTATATAATGGTGTGGTGGAGCAGAAGGAACATTATCGTGTTTCAGGTCTTGTAAAAGTCTGAACCCATCTTGTGTGCTTGAATACAGAGCATAGATTTGATTAGGATGGAAGATAAATTCCAGAAAGCAACTTAACTGTTTCCATGTTTCCCCTCTGGTAAAATATATTTGATATTTGTCAATGTGAATGGTAGCAAATATGTGCCAGAAGGAATAGCAATGCTCTGCCTGCTTAAGTTGAATATTTGAAGAGGTATCAAAAAAAGCAAGCAGGATGGTAGATCAAGGTTTTTGCTGACCAGAGGTGCTCTCTTATATTTGGAATTAAGCTCAGTTTACAATACCATTTTGTGGGATGTTATCACTACTTTAAAAATGCTATTGTATTAGATGTCTTGAGCTAGGTAAAGCCAGAGTATAGAGCTAGAACAACATGCAAGCATTTTATCTGAAAGGAGAGTGTTGTAAATGCTTCATTATATAGTCTTTGTTTTAAGTAGTTTAACAAGGGTTGCTCATTTATACATGCAGTGGTAAGTTGACAGTTTGATCAAAAATTCATACTTGCCACCTTCTTTTCCTTTTCCACTGCACTGTGTAACACCCAGAGTGAGTAGGGGTATAGGATGTTGGAGGAGGCAGTAGGGTTTGTGTGTGTTTTTCTGGCTGTAGACAAAGTATTTCAGCCATCTCAAACATAATTTTAAATATTAAGTATATTTGTGACCCCTGTTAAGGTAGCGTGAATGTTTCATAATTTTGAACGTGAAATTCTCAAAACACCTTTATGAGACAGTACTGTTGTCCTAATTTTACAAGTAACTACTTTGTCTTGCTTCCCTAGGTGACTTGCTCAAGGTTACACAAGAGTCCTCTCATGGGATGGGGAATTATATCCAAATGTTTGATGTTTAAGACTTGAAATCTGATTTCTGGATCACCCTCTCCTAGCAGAAATGGAAGACCTATACCTTTCCTGTCGTTCTGCGGAAATGAATTAAATTATAAGTATTAATACTCTGATTTTGATCAATGCTTTTAATTCTGTTTACTGCTTCTTTTTCTCTTTAGGCATGTACTGGTATTGAAAATATTGATGAAGCTATAACGTTGCTTGAACAAAATAACTGGGATTTAGTGGTAAGTATTCCAAGAAAATGACTTCATAAATCAACTCATGTAACAGCGATGTGCATCTTGCTGAACAGCTATTATCTTTGTTTCAAATTTGTGTGTGTCTCTTGTGGCTGGGGCAAGCAAGTTGTGTGCAGACTATTTCTGGTCTGTTAAAGCCTCGTTGCCAAGTTAACATGATATTGGGTTGTATGTACCCTGGTATATACTCTGATTGTCTTCTGAGTGCCTTTTTGAATTGTTTCTTTAAGTCAATGTTTAGTCAATGTGTTTAGTTTCCTTTTTGTTAATTATATGCATATTTTTTAAAGTAGTATTATTAAGTAGCATTTTTAGAAGACATCTTGTGTATAGACACAAGATTTTTGAGGATTTAGGTGCCCGTGGAAGAAATGGAAGGTAAAACAACTTCATTGGCCTTATTATGCTTTTAGTTTATAAATAAGATGGTTGCTCTTCTATTGTTAGTTGTAATGCAGAATTGAGTCAGAGATTAAGGCCATGCCTTGTTTAGATTTAGTGTTATCCACAGTTAAACACAGACAAAAAAAAAACAACAAACAAGCTTGTCCTGAAAAGACCTGTCGTCTAGTTTGTAACAAGGTTGAATGTGCAGACAAACAGGAGGAAACCAATAAAACATGCAAAAAAGTCTTAGGTATTTTAAGACTCTGCATAGGATTATCAGGATAAATAAAGACACCACTAATCCATTTTCTTAAGGTTTAAAAATGTAAAATAGAACAAAGTTAGTTAAAAACCAACTGATCTTCCTTTAAACTGTAGTGCCTTTGATTTCCTGCTCTATTCTTTTTTTTTCCTTTTCCAAATGAGTGATCTTTGGACCAGTCCAAATTAACAGAAAATTATTCTAAAAAAAATAATTAGATTTTCCAAAACTGACTATGGATAAAGTTTCAACTGTCTGCCACATTGTGTTCCCAACATATCGTTTAGAGTGTTCTCTATGTTTTAATAATTACAAATTAAGCATCCCAGAGGTTAGGGTGGGGTTTTAAACTGAGGTTTTGTTAGAATAAATATTATGTTTCTTTTAAGCCGTGATGATTAAAATGACATGTAATATTGTAACCTCTTGTAAACAAATGCTGTGTACTCCAAACACCTGAAACTAAATGTTATAACGAATGGTGGCCAAAATATATGGAGTCTTTATTTTGCAACATGTCATGGCATAAGCAAGGATGAACCACCAATGAGCAGAAGGGTGTGTGTATCATCAGTGTCTTCAAACAGAAAACCCCAGACGTATGTTGACAGAGTGGTAGAGTTAAAAACATCTTTTGTTGTAGTAATTTGTTGTGATTTAGCACGAGCTGTTTTGAAAATGAAAGTGTTAATGGGAAGGCGATAATATCCTTGTGCGTTCTGTTTAGGTTGTGAAGTCCTCAATACAATGCATTAAATTAAATAAATGCATTAATTTTTGAAGTATGTACTTTAAAATAAATGCTCACAAGTGGGGTTGAATGAGAAAATTGTGACGAAAAAGGGTAAGAACAACTAAGGGGACTTGTTTTGATGTTTGGGGTTTTTTTCCTTTTCTTTTGAGACTCCAGCAGGAGCAGAAAGGGAGAGTGAAGTATTTTAAGCTATGGGAATGGCTAGGAGAATAGCTTTAAATAGTTAATTTTATTAGTGATGATTAAACGATCTGCAACTAGAATATAATGGGCCAAAAAATGCAAGCTTAAAAAAGGCATGTGGAAAGTAAGAAAGGAAAGAAAGGGATGTAAGAGGTACTTCAGGAAAGTACGTAGTTCTTGAAACTGAACAGAAGATGAATGAGAGGAGTGTCTCCAAAAAGGGAATGATAAGGGAATGAGGAAGAATAAAAATAAATTGGGGAGAGTAAAAGGGAAGAAGATGCCCTAAGAGTCTGTCATTGGTAGGACACTGGTTTCTTTTTATTAAAAGCAGCCTTCTTGTAAAAAAGGGGAAAGAAAACCAAATCATGCTAATCTAACAGGGAATTAGAAGCAGAAGAGTGAAGAAAGAGGAGAGAAGACAAAAGGAATGTGAATGCAAGAAGGAAAGGAGCTGCTAGCTTGAGAGAGAATCAGCCATCTCTTTGCTAGGCAAGGGATTTTAGCAATTTGGGGTCAAAACAGTACCTGAAAAAAGGCTTATGACTTATGAGAAATATAGCTTTTTTTATAGCAGCCAGGGTAATATGAAGTAGAAAGTCAAGCAGGTCCCTTTAGGATGTGATCAACCTAAGTTCAGGGACACTTCTGCAGAACTGGAGAAAAACCAAAAACATAAGTTAAGGAAGTTCTTGTCTCAGAACAGATTGCTTTCTTGCTCTTCATTTGAGCTGCCTGTATCTCGATTCCATTTTCCTGTTTGGAGAAAAAAAAAAAAAGTGCACTCTCAGGTCCATGCAGGGACCCAGGTTGAAGATTCCCTTGAGCACCTCTTGCTTCTTGAACTTTCTGAAACTCAGCTCAAGGGCGTTATTGTTTCTCTGGGACTTCAGCCAGTGTCTCCAAGAGCAAGTAGTCCTGGTGAGTGGGAAAGCAGAAGGATCCCAAAACAGAAACAGTGAAGCCCTCACTGACACAGGCTGACAGAGAAGCGCAGCAGAATGCACAGAGGCAGCAGAGGTTATATGGTTCACAAAACAGTTTCTGAAGTTGTGCTACAACTACTATGTTTTTGTGTAAGATTTTTTTTTTGAGGATTTCTTTCTTTGTACTGATGCAATATTCCAGCTGTCTGTTTTCTCCATACTTTTTCTTTTTCTTGTCTTGCTAGTAGATTTTAGTATCAAGGGTTAAAATATCACCAGTGTCTGTCCTGTTACTTCAGTGAGTGTTACTGCATTTGGTATCTTTTGGACATTTGGTCTTACCTTCAAAGCAAGCCAACCCTGAGTGAAGCATAAGGATTTCCTTTCTTGGTTTAGTTTCTCTCATAGACGCTTATGTTTTTTATTAAGAATTCATCTGAATTCTTTTTTTCAGTTTAGAACTGAAACATCAGTTTCCTATTTTTGAACTTTTAAAGATTACCCGCCCTCAATTAGAAGTCTTCACGTCTGTTCCTCTACATGGCATATTTTAAAACAGCCATTCATTTATCTTCGGCTTGGAACTGAATAAATCAGATTTAAATGTCTCAGAGTTGTATATGTTTTACAGTGTTCAAATCTTGTTTGTAGCTGTTTGAAGTGACATAGGAAACTGTCTTTCATAAACATTTGGTTGCTAGGCTTTGTTCAAGTGCTTAAAATTAAATCGATCACGAGAGTGCTGCAGAGGAATTCATATGCAATAACAGCATATAAATTGTTTGGTGGGATCGTGAAGTCTAATCTTGCCAATAATTAGTTCCCCACTGTTGCATATGACTTGGCCTTTGTGGTGGTCTGCTGCATATATAGCAGCTTAGTTTTTTTTTTTTCTGTATTAGAACACTGTAGCCTAATTACTAAGCTTATTATAGGCTGAGCAATGAAATGTTGCAGATGTTCTGTGAGATACAGAAGATCAACATAGATAATATAACGATCTCTTTAGGCCTTCATCTTTATGAAACTGTTCTGCAATAAATGGATCCAGCAACTCTCTTTAGCCTGCCAGGATTGCTGATATATTATTTCCTGAACGTCACTTCTTTAGATCTATTAATTTACAGTCATTTTTAACATCTGAGGAAGCAAAAGTTAGGAATTTGCCTGATGTAAAATCTGATGGTTTCATAGCTTGCCCAACTATCACCTTCTGTTTTGGCATTTGAAGGTAAGAATGACAGCATAAACATGTCTTAAGTTTTCTGTAAAGACAATAAAGCAAAAATATGAAAAATCACAACTCTGTGTCTTTTGAAATGTTTCTGATGATGGTACAAATTTAAAGGAAATAATCTATTACTGTACTTCTTGACCCTATGCCATATGGACCTTCCTATATATGAGGTTATTCCATAGGTAATAGCTCTTTGCTCTCCTGATATCAAATGCTTGTATCTGTGTGTAAAACTTGGTCTCCTGTACCTTTCACAGATTGAATGAAAAAATTCAAAATCCTTTATATATAGCGTGACTTCATATTCTGTACTAGTAATAAGAACAGGATTTTTGAATGAAAAGCAGGATTCAACATGCCTAATTTTCTGCTTTTTCCATTATGACCATTTCCGTTTTTACTGTGTACAGTGCAGTGATTGTCCCCTCAAATTGTGTGCCTCAAATACTGCCCAAGTTTTGGGCCCCTCACTACAGGAAAGACATTGAGATGCTGGAGCGGGTCCAGAGAAGGGCAACAAAACTGGTGAGGGGTCTGGAGAAAAAGTTTTGTGAGGAGTGGCTGAGGCAGATGGAGTTGTTCAGCCTGGAGAAAAGGAGGCTGAGGGGAGACCTTATTGCTCTCTACAACTACCTGAAAGGAGGGGGTAGAGAAGTGGGGGTCAGTCTCTTCTCCCAAGTCACAGCAATAGGACAAGAGGAAATGGCCTCAAGTTGTGCCAGGGGAGGTTTAGATTGAATATTAGGAAAAAATCTTCACAGAATGGCTTGTTAAACATTGGATCAGGCTGCTCAGGGGAGTGGTTGAGTCACCATCCCTGGGGGCATTTAAAAGACATGTTGATGTGCTGCTGAGGGGCACGGTTTAGTGGTGGACTTGGCAGTTTTAGATTTACGGTTGGATTTGGTGATCTTAGAGGTCTTTTCCACCCTAAGTGATTCTACGATGAGGGTTTTTTTTCATCTTGCTGTTTAAAACCTCTTTAAAAATAGTGATTATTTGTCAGACAGGATTTTAAAAATAATAAGTATACTCATTTTGGTTATAAATTTATGTTTACTTCTATGTAATGTTATCTTTTGGAAAGAAAAAAGTAAAAAAACCAAAAAAACAAACAAACAAAAAAAACCCCAAAAAAACAAACACCGCCAAACAAAAAAATTGAACTGAGACAAATGAGCTAGGGCTTCATAACTTTTCCTTTTTGTTTCTGTTGGAGGTGCCAGTTTAGATGGG